CGCGGTCAGCCTTGATCCCGCGGTAGTTGGAGCAGTCCATCGCGTCACCCTTCTGCTTGAAGATGGGGACGATAGTGCTTGTTCTCCAGGCATCTGGCATCCTTCCTTCCGCAGTTATGTTGTTGAGGAATCGTGTGAGCCATCTTATCCCGTAGTCACCGAGCGCCTTCCATGCCTCGATTGGCACCCCATCTGGACCAACCGCCTTCCCAACCTTCATCTTCCCAAGTTCTCGACCTAACCTCATCCTCTGTCCAGAGTGCGATGGGACCAGCTGTGCCTCTGCTTGTGAGTGTCTTTGTGGGGGAACTCCTCGTTCAGAGCGCTTTGTAGTACTCTTCCCACCTCCTCCGACTTCAGGCTGGCTTCCTCAGGATGGCACCGTTGCTGCTCTTCACGCTCTTCACCACCCTGATGTCTTGGGTAGCCCGATGCCGGGCTTTGGCCAGTCTGAAGACGAACTTCTCTGCGTTTCTGCTTTCCAACTTCTCGTACAAGGCGTCCATCTCCGTGTTCTTCGCCTTGGCTTAGGGTTAGGTATGCGCGCTGTTCTAATAATTCCTGGATTTGCTTTGCTCTGTCGACTCTTGGCTAACTGACTCATCAGCTTATACATGTGAGTGCTGAGAAGCTACGTTGAAGACAGCATTGGAAACTCAGTTAAAGGAATCGTCGATGGAAAAACCTAGCCTTCATCCTCACAGAACTTGGTACTTCAGCCCACTTGCTTCACAAAGACGGCGAAAAGAACGAAAAATAAAACTGGTCCTGATATTAACACGTTGGAGACCGCGCATGTTTTATGCGACCGCTCGGGGCTGCAGTGAATTTTTTTTGATAACCTTATCAATTAAACTGCAAACAAAAACCTATTGAATGACTTAGAAGAAATTCTTATTGAATGAAATGGAAAGAAAAATAAAAGAAAAATAATACTTGTTCCAAAATATGGGTCGTAAGGTCCCACACGGTTGACGGACTGCAGCCCACATATGGGCTGCATGGGCTCCCAGGTGTTAATCTGAACAACCACGGAGGCTGTAAAATTTAAATTCCCGCCGTCAAACTGTCACAACTATTGGCGCTGGGGAGCCAACACGCGCAAATGTTTTGATTCAAGATCGTAGTGGCATTTGAATGCGTCTTGACTCGGGTAATGAACTGCTTGGATGGAATTTGGTCCCTAGGAACAAGCATGTGATAGCAGCGTCATTTGCATTTGCCCTACTTCGTAAGGAACTGCATTTTCCGGTAACCTGTATTTTCGCACCACCTTATTTAAGTGATACTTCTTTTTACAGTCGTGTCCGCGGAGTGACAATGGAACGATAGATAAGGAGTGCGCCATGTCCTCATCAACTACCATGTACTTTTGGAACAGACAGGCTCTCGACACGACTGGGTTCGTTAAGCTACAATAGAAACCGTCATAGTGTTTTTCCTATGAATCCGCGAGTCATCCTCTCTATCTCTCATTGATTAGTAATTCTATCTCTCATTTACGGGTTACGAAAGTCGATGAGATGAAATAGAAGAAAGAAGCAAAAGATGAATAAGGTAGATACTTCCTGTAATCACTCACTAGCCCTCAAAGGGTATGGAGTTTTGTGGGGTTAAATTTCTATGCAGCATCTTTCATTCCCATGATTCTGAAATTCTTCACTTTCTGTCCTTTCTCTTTGGAACTGCTTTTAATCGCCATATGTGGCAGCACTTTTCATTTGGCCATACATTTGGCACGAATTGTAGCCCGAATGGGATCATGTTATCCAGTGTTCTGATTTAGGAGTATAGGCGATCTGGACAGTTTCAATCAGCACATTACAATATCCTTGATTGTTGCTTGGTTCTTGATCTACCTCTGCGTGATGAAAGGAATCAAAAGCAGTGGAAAGGTGAGAAAATGTTGGAAAACTCGAAAGATAAAAATGCTGAGAATTTAACAGTTGTGTCCATAATTGGGAGTTTCTTCCCATCCAGCTTTAGGAACGTTTCCCTTCGACAAAATCGAGTTCCACTTCTCGAGGTTCAGAAACAATCCAATAGTTGCTCGAAAATCATTGACGCAGCACATAAGTGGCAGGGTTACTTTCGAACTTTTTTTCCAACAGAGAAGGGCCAATTGATCAGCACGGCCATTCAGTGTAGGATGAATGTTAAGGCCGGTGTCAGACTTTACGAATCGAGTGATTCGTTGTTGGCGACGCGACCGCGAACGCTGAGCAATGCGCTAACCAGCGAAATCGCTCGGTTCGGCAAACGTTGACATTTGGCCATCACCCTTATGGCGGCTATACGCTGACTCGAACTCTGCTTTCGTTGTTTGAGGAATAACTCCTTGAAAAAAGTTATGGAGCAGTGAAGCGCAGCCTTGTATTCTTAACTTACACTAAACATAATAGAATCTGAAAGCAAGCATATTTCGGAAAACGTGTAAAAGTACAGACTTTTCGCCTTCAACATTTTTTTTGTGGGATGAGAGAGGTGCAGTCTCTTGAAAAGAAGCAACCGTAGAAAGTTTGAGCTGCAGCTTATCTATACTTAGCTATCAATGAATATTTGTGGGAGTCCAGACGGTCAGGTTGTACAGCGTACGGCGGACTTCCGTATCTTGGTGGACACCTTATTTCCTTATTCGTTCTGTCACTTTGGATGGTGCAATGAAAGGACTATGGCACATGATAAATCCCGATGTAAGTTTTGAGTTACCCACCATGAAAGCACCACAGAAATCACAATAAAACATAGCATGCCAAAAAAGGTTAAATAGAAATTATTAAAAATTACGGTAGTTCAAGCTTATTGTGGAAGCTCTTGGTGACGAGCAAAAATCACTGAAGGTGTGGAGAATTCTGCGCTCCGCAGAAGGACATGCAGAAAGTTTGCTGCAGTGTAATATTTTCAATTCACACTCATCTATTACATTTACAATTCAATTCCAGCTCCACAAATTATACAGCCCTACAGTGTGGCTAGAAGCCGCCACACAAATCTTCTACAGTATGGGCTTAGGATTTGGAGGTGATTTTCGGGTTGTTTTTCTTTTCTATCTTAATTTATGCGTATTTCGGGTTTTCAATTTGATTATTGTCTCAAATAATCACCAAGTTCATCAGTTATACTTTATTATTTACATGACTTCCTTTCAGGAAGTCGACCTCTAGGTGCAGGGGCCGCATTCCAAAATTTTAGAGAAGCTTATTCTTGGGAGTGGTGGCCTTGATAAGCCCATCATTACCGATTGGCTCGAAAGGGGCGGTGGGTAGTTGGGGGGGGGTAGTTAGTAGAGTAGGTGAGAAAGATGATGTGTGAAGGCGACTTAGGAATTATTACTCTAATTTTCACAGTTCTTTCCTGAGAGTTCCACAAAATCACCATAGTTGCCGCTGAAAATACGGAACCTTCGTTCTGCCCCAACCCGTGTAGTTGAATTTCTCAAGGCCCTAGACGACTTGTTTGACCCCATATTGGTCATGATACCGATGCATTAACCCTGTTCTCGACGGGTTGGATCCTCAACCTTTGATGCAGGGGACTCTCCAGGGAGGCCCGTCGCGCGGCAAGAAGGCAGAGTCGGCGGACGAGTTGCAGCGCGTGGTGTGCGATGTAGGACGTGCAGTGGGACACTCTATTTAACTTGACGCGAAATCCCTATAGTACGCGCGCGACTCGTCCGCTGACTTTGCCTTCTTGCCGCGCGACGGGCCTCCTGGGGTACCTTTTGTGCGGAATTGAAATGTTTAGGCCCCACTCTCTTATCTGTTTACAACTTACCATTACATAATTTTTTTTGCTCCACGTGATCTTTATCCTGTTTAGGACTAATTGCCTTCGGCTCTTACAATCCTGTCAAAAATGATTGTAAAAAAGATGCTAAATGGTTGGCTCTATGTAACGTCCTTACATCACTCGATTAGCTGCTCTCGTCGTCTTCTTGTCTGTTCTCGGATATATGGGACATAATACAATGAACACCTGCATTGAGAAGTAAGCGAACCTTTTTCGATAGTGTTTACTTTTTCTCTTTCATTTGTACACTTGTCTTGCTGCTGCATTGACTCAATAATTCTTTGCTCCGAAATCTTTCTCAAAACCACAAACAGTAGTTATTACTTACTTACATATGACCAGTTGGTGTTATTGCTTCAAACCTTGCGGCATTTCTTTGAAAATCGGGGACATTTTGAGTGTCAGCTGTCCAAAGTGATCATTTCTCCTGCATCTTGCTCTCAAAATTAAGATTTGCTGGTCGTTTGGATTGTTCACGAGCAGCGCAAGTCAAAGTGTCTGGTCTAAACTCACTCACTGAGTGTCCCTGTTTTCTTAACATATTTTCGACATGTGATCGGATGGGACGGGCGCGATGAAGGCGGTGCTGCTGTGAGCACTCTCGAACTCATTCCTCCTTATCCCATGTAGGAAGGGTGGTGCTGACTGAACACTTCCAGATGACGAAATTTTGGTCCTGAATGTCGACAGTATATCAAAGGGGCAACGGAAAAGTTCACTTATATCTATGATAGATGCCTTTAGAGGGAGTCTTCCCCCTCCCCCTGGGCAGTGCCAATACCGAACTGATTCTTGAGCAGCGAATCGAAATGGAATCCTCAGTAGCAAAAGAAGTGCTGTCTCCAATGCGGCCGAAACTTAGCCCAGAACGAGATGCTCTTCCTGTATTGTTAGCAATATTGGCCGGATAATTTACTGATAATGTCCGAGAATGAACCGAGAGGGTGTAGCGGAAAGCGGCGCCACTCACGTGCACATTTCCGGGGTTAATCGGATCATATCTCGCTGAGGCCAACCGACTTACCATTCCACAGGGGTCGGTCGATTGGTACCAGAGTTGTCTATGACTGGCTATGACGTCGGGTGGCCCTTCATCCCCAAGTCATTGCATGGGCCATACCGATTTCAAATTCCACTGCGATTCTGAACGGTAAGAGGATGCATGGCGCATTCCAAAAAGGGGTTGGTCGGAGATTTCTTGATAGCTCGGGTCCTTTCACTATTCAGTTAAAGTCGCAGTATCACGAAGGGAACATACACTCCAGTCAGCGACAGGATGTGATTAATACAACAACCAGAAGCACGTTAAGGGCCGAGATGCTAATTCTCTTAACAACGATAGCTCCCATGTAAAGAATATGTCTCGGCACCTAACCAGGTATTGGCTTGGAAAATATTGCACTGCTTAAAGGCAAGATTCAGGATTGAATTATGAGTTAATTCCACTTAAATGTGAAAGTAGGGGTAGGTAGTGGACCGCCAGTGCAGAAAAGAGAAAAAGAAATCGTGAAATGCTTAGGAAATACGAGCCATTTTGCTCTACGTGCGGAGAAGTTCAAAAGGTCGGCAGGGAGATGAGCGATAATGTGAGCGCGGAGAGCGCTAGGGAAGTCTA